AATGCTGCCTCCAATTTGACGCCTTTGGAGGCCCTCCAACTACCTGTTGCGCGCGCAGCGAGGTGACGTGGCAATGATGGTCGATATCGATCGCGCATGTTGAGCCGTGTCCAAGGGGGTCCTCCAAGGATGGATCCACCATGGCACGATCTCCATGAACACTGCTCTACATGCGCGATCTTTGTCGCCACTATAACCACAAGATGGTGCAAATGCACATTGGCTGTGAATACTGTTCGAGCCCATCCAATAGATTCCGACCGGGAAGAGGTACCATTCAGAACTTTCATCTATATAATCATTAATGCCAGTCTCTGATTTTGTGTTGTAGAGGTAACTTGCAACGTTTGATGACGACTGTGTGTAGAGATCGCGCTATTTGCGCAGCGAACGATGATGATGGAGATTGAGGCATGTCGGATCATACATGCGTCGAACTCTGTTGACATCGTTCGCTGCGCCAGGTCCTAGCCACCAGTCATCTCCAAATGTCGCGCTTCAAGTGATGCTTGACGCCGAAAGCCAATGCATAGGGACCACAGCGTAAGGTTGTATGCAGCACTGCGAGGGCCGACCTCGTCCACAAGGATGAAGACTAGTACACGTAGGGCAAATAGGGTTGACGATTAACTCATTAGACTTGATATTGCTGTACTGAAATGTTCGTTGGTTCGCTCTTTAGCTTCGTGTGCTCCAATGAAGCATGCCTTGACCATGACTTCATGGCTTGGTCCGCGGCATGAATTATCGGAAACTGACTTGTACACTATCGAATCTATTAACGAATATTTGTCATTATATATTATAATGTAACGTTAGCTCAGTGGTAGCACGTCAGGATCGTAACCCAAAGGTCCCGAGTTCGAGTCGGGGGGTTTATTCCAGATTTTATTTTTTTGTACAATTTCTATCTTTATCACTTCTTCGAAACAAGATGATGTGAGGTCGAACGTGCGGGGCGTCCCACTTACTGGAGCAAATCGGCCATTGTATATATGTTGATGAATGAAACAGCAGATTTGCGTTAGGCACGGAGGGACACCTGACGATGTAGCATACTGTATGGTATCCAATTATCTAAATGAAAGAGGAAGGCCAATCGTTCGTCGGTTACGAAAACATTTCTACCCGAAGGCACTACTGCACGACGTCGGCGTTGACCTCTGAAACGCGACGCTGCCTCGGTTCGATGGGCTTGGTTACGGACAAATGCTGTTGGAGGCAATGGTGCGCCATTGACATCTCGTCCTTGTACTTGCAGCGCGAAGACTAGATGACAATAGTACTTCTTTTTGTTGAAGATGTTGCATTCGCACGCCAAATTCCCAGGGACTGTGCAGACTTGCCAACCATACGAGGGCTGGGCGTTGCCTGCGCAAATGGATTCGTGACGTATGTTGTTGGTGTTCTCGTAGAAGTAGTAAGCGTTGGCCACCTCCAAATGCTCAGGTGATGTCTCCGTGGGGCGGCCTGCTTCCATGGCGGCAGTGGTACCAACCGCATCACTCTCACGCGCTTGGGAGAGGGCATGCCTTGGAACGATGCCGACGATACGGACAGTCCCCGGAACATGTTCAAGATCTGGATTGGGAGAGACAACTTTGAGGAGGTTGTATGTGATAAGGCGCCTGGATCGCCGGACCAACTTTTCGCTTGGAGACACTTCTGACGTGAAGGTGGTAATCTTGACCGTTGAATACTCCTCTGCGATAGAGCCCAGCAACTTAAACGTAGCGCACAACCCATGCAGTGAGCGCTGCGTATACGTTCCTAAACGTGGTTTAGTTCGCATTGTAAACGCAGCAAAAGTACCTTTGAAGTGCTTGTTAAAGAGCTCGCATGGGTTATTCGTGGTGGGAAAACAACTAGGTGTATGGTACACCTGCCATTTGCAAAAGTCCCCGGTCATCCACTGTTCTGCGAAATAGCGGAAGAAGTCCTTTGCCACAAGGATGTCACACGCCCCCTACGCTTC